TAATTGTGTATATAAGCTGGCATACAATAAACGACCTGTCACAAAAGTGCTACGACCAGTTGCTATTTTCTTCCTCATACTTTAATTATGTGAAACGAGTCGCCAATATTAAAAAATATATATAAAACTTCCACTGAAGGAAAATTTGCCAAGAGATGAGAAACCTTTTATTTATTTGTATCTCTTTCTTTGATCGGTGAAGATTAGATTACCGTTTTTACATTGTGATTCCTTCAAATTTAGGGTTAGTTGCTCCATTTTATTTACTTAACTAATTATGGCCACATACTCCATTTTATTTTAATCCACATTTTTTCATGTTTGACATTTTTGTGTGTGCGAGTGTTGATTTTAGACCCTGTACTACCATGGGATCATGTTTAAATATAATGCAATCATAGGATGTATATTTATTATGTTTGTAGTAGAACCCAGAAAAGCAAGTTCTTTTACTAAAATTACCACACCCAAAAATATGGTGAACGGCCTCCACAACATACACATATGTGATTTCCCACAGTGCAAGAGTTGGACGTTCACAATGCCAAGGCTTTGTCATTCGTCCAGGCATTATGTGTTTGTGGCATATCCATACTTGGAGAAAGCACACATCGCTGTGGCCGAACAGTCTCCTGACTGACAGTATGAAATATCCTGACATTTCAGACACGCTCACATGTGTTTGTTATCCTGTGGGAAGCGCCATCCCACACAAGAGGATTTCATCCCGCCCTAAAGGCATAAATATAGAAGGATTCAAGGTCTTTACGTTGTGTGTGTGAGTGTTTGTGCATATACACACATCTGAATATTGTTCATAAAAACAAATCATTCTGACTGACTTCATCTGTGACAAAACAGAGATAAAAAAAAGAAAGTCCAGTAAATTAATTAATTAATTTAATTAATGTCTAGAAAGAAATGAATGGAAAACGATGCATTAAGGGCCAGGGGTGTAAACCTTTGAACAGAATGAAGATGTGCACATTTTTCTTATTTTGACTAAATATCTTTCTTTTGTTTTTTTGCCCTTCAGAAGCTCCAGAAGATACTTACATATTTCCCAGAAGACAAAATAAGTTAAATTTACCCCGATCTTCTCTTAATGCATGGTGTTTCCTTCTGCAGCATCAGTGAGCATTTGAACCTTCTGTAATAGTTGCGTATGAGTCCCTCAGTTCTCCTCAGTGTGAAAAGATGGATCTCATAATCATACAGTCATTGTTGGAAAGGGTTCAAATACACAAAAGACACTGGAAAACCAAAGAATTAGAGGGAGCTGAAGGATTTTTCTGAAGAACAGCAACAGCGGGCAGTTGAACTGTTCAGGACAAACAAGGCACTCATGAACAACTAAAAAAAAAAAAAAAAAAACTAAAATCACAGCTGTGGATCATCCAGGTATACAGTATTAAGAATCAAGCCTTTGTAAACTTTTGAATGGGGTCATTTTTATAAATTCAACTGTTATTTTCTCTTGTGGACTATATGTGAACATCTTTTATGTGAAATATCTTATTCAGGTCTGTAGTAAATAAAAAAATAACTTAATAATCTTATTTTGGTTAAATAATTCACATTTTGCAGATACTGCAACTGTGACATTTTGACCACAACTGTACGCTCTAAAATGACTTTCCTATTCAAGTGACGTAACTTGTCGAAGGTCATGTTAACATAATTGTCTAGCACTATTCCACTCAGTAACACCCTTCCTTTTACAATACAATCAAAGTCCCACCCTTTTTTATCCCTTTGAATATTCTGTTTCACTTGTAAAAACTTCACATTATAAAAACTAAAATGCGTTGCGAATGCTGTTTCATGTTGACTTTAAACAGCAGCTAGATTCTTAGCAACTAGCTTCGTTCCCTTCCTGGCTCCCTATCATGTACAAAGGCCAGTGCTGTGTGCTTAACATTTCAACTTTTTATGATCACATTATTCCTTTGTTAAGTTTAGGGGGCAATAGTTTCCAAGTTTTTCACACAGCTTAAACATCTAATCATAGCTCTTAATATTGACTTTAACCTCATTTTCATGTCCCTGTCCACCACACTTTGTCGCACTCATTAATGCCGGGCGTTGCTTAGCAAAATGTTTGTTGATATTCATTGTTCCACCTGTCTGCGCCAAGAAACTATGAAATACTATGACTACGACCATAATCACGGGTCACACTCTATTAGCACCTGGCTCACTCTTTTTGACACACACACCAGATGCCCCATTTTGGGGACAATATGGAGTTGGACACACTCCCTGGTGTGAAGCCTGAGTAGGGTGGGTATAACAGTGTATAAAGAACAGAGTCAACCTGGAAAACAGCTTTCCAGGGAGCTGTGGTGGTGACCAACCACATACTGACTCTAAAACGAAATGTCAGATTTAAATATGCATCTCAACACAGTATAAAGATAAGTTAAAAAGAACGGATTCATGTGAATTCTTAAGTTTAAACATCTTGATGATGTATTGCAAAAACATACTCTAACCTACTTTGCTTTCAAATGTTTGAGCTATTTAATATCTTAAAGGGGTCATATGATGCTGCTAAAAAGAACATTATTTGGTGTATTTGGTGTAATGAAATGTGTTTATGCTGTTTAAGGCTCAAAAAACACATTATTTTCCACATACTGCTTTCACAACGAAACACACAGCGTCTTCACGACATGGAGGCAACAGCAATACTACAGCGAGACTAAAAGTTACACCGCCTTTCTTTGCGTGAACATTTGGGCGGCGTTATGCAAATCTTCCCACATCGTGAGGTAGACATGTGGGGGCGTGTTAGAATGAGCCGTTTTAGGTAGGTGTGGCTGACTCTTAACTTTTATAAAGAATAGCTCTTTGGATTTGAGACTTTAGTCTTTGCAACTTTACAGATCTTCTTTATGCACCAAGAGCTTGTAACACTTCAAAGAGAAAGGAACAATTTAAATCGCATCATATGACCCCTTTAACTGGCTATTAACATGCCAACCGTTTAACTAACTTTAACTACCTACAAACATGCCAAGAATTTAACTACTGTCGATATGTCAACCAGTTATAAACATGTCGACAGTGTAACTAGCTATAAACATGAAGGCAGAATAACTAACTTTATAAATTTGCTGACAGTTGAACTTTAATCTTTATAAACTGACATTTGAATAATTTCAACTAACTATATAAACATGATGAAGGTTTAAATAATTGCACTATCTGAAACATAACAAATGAGTTATAAAACTGCTGACAGTTTAATTAACATTAGCTATAAACAAGAAGACAGTTTGACTAACTTTAACTACCTATAAACATTACAAGAGTTAGTAAATGTGTTGACAGTTTAACTGTAGCTAGCTGTAAAAATAGTTTAACTAACATTAGACTATAGACATCAAGGCAGTATAACTAATTTTCACTAACCATAAATTTGTTGGCAGCTGCATTTTAATCCTAATAAACTGACATTTGAATCATTTTAATTATCTATAAACATGTCAAAAGTTTAACTAACTTTAACTAGCACTAAACTTGTTGACAGTTGAACTATCTTTAACTACCTATAAACATGTCAACAGTTTAACTAACTTAACTAGCTATAAAAAATGTTGAAAGTTAACTAATTTCCCTAGCTATAAACATGTTGACAGTTTAACTAACTTTAACTAGCCATAAACTTGTTGATAGTTGAACTTTAGCTATAAACATGTTAGCAGTTTAACTAACTTAACTAGCTATAAAAATGCTGACTGTTTAATCAACTTTAGCTATAAACAAGTAAACCACTTCATAAATTATTATTAGCTATATAATCTTGTTGACAGTTGAGCTAACTAGCTATAAACATGTCAACAGTTTAACTTAACTACTTATAAAAATGCTGAGTTTAATTAACTTTAACTATAAACTTGTTGACAGTTTAACTAACTTAATTAGCTATAAAAATATAAACAATTCAACTTATTTCATAGCTATAAACATGTTGACAGTTTAATTAACTTTTAGTAACTTGCTCACTATGACAGTAGTACACATGCAAGTGAAAACAGACCGTAGACAAAGACGGTTTATGCTAATATACACTATGCATTGCATTATCAGTTAGTCTATAACACGTTTTGCAATGCAGTGACATGTGAACTCAAGCTTGAGCAGTAAGAAGCGCCTGTGTGTAGAGTAAAGCATTATACAGTCCAGACAAAAACAAATACACTGCATAAAGTTTTCATCAACATACGTATGCGGTTGGCGACGAGGTGATGGTTGAGCTCAGTTCTCAGCACCCAGCAGATAGAGATCCCACGCCAAATACACAGTAAAAATAATTACAAGCTTTTTGCAGGCATGATTTACAGTAATGAAACTAAAAAGGCTATGGAACCAATAAATGAATGAGTTTGTTTAAACATGCACTGATAAATATAACAACACGGGTCAAATGGTTAGCCGTAATGGAAAGGAACGTCGTAATTGCTAGTCCTATCAGGTTACAAAACAACTCTAGAGTGATCCTATATGTGGAATATATCTGCTGGGGAGGTCCTGTGGTACATGAGAATCTATGATGCATAAGCCAAGCCAAACTCACATAGGGATTAACAGATTTACTGTCTTTTTTATTAGTCTTATTTTTACAGTACGGCACCGGGATGCAAAGGGTGCAATCCACACCACTGTAACGTAAAAACATCTCGATGATGTTTTCCTAATTTCGAGAGAACCTCTAAGAAAAACAGCCACACACGCTCTGCAGTCCTGCAGCTAATTTCCAGATATTAACCTGCCCTGGGGATTTTTCCAATCTGCTCGCTTGCAAGACAAACGGCCCACAAGTTAGTTTTGAATGCCAAGTTTGTTTTCAATTTCCAGGATATCCTACGAGCACATAAGTTTGCTACAAAATGATAAGCATTTCATAAAGACAGAGAGCGAGAGAGAGGGCAGAAAGGAAGAGCAAATGGGACTTAGCAGGCATTTTGGCTCATAATGAAGACCAGATGGTTTACCTTCACTGGTAGCCACATTCTTGGGAGCTTTGGTGGGCGTATGATCAGTGCTGGAGCTCACATCGGAGACATCGCAGGAGATACTGGAGCTACCCTTGCCTGGGACAGAAGCGAAACAGAAAATAACGTTTTGTGAAAACAGCTCATTTTTGAGATCATACTTGACTGCATGCATTCACAATATATACGGTCGGCTCCATCAGCCAGCTCTGGGAGCCCTGGTGTGCAGTTTCACAGAAGGGTGGGGTGCAACGGTTCCCACTGTAAGTCAATATTATAACAGATGCAATAAAAGCACGATCGGACATTTTGGCCCAATCACTCATTCACTTGCTGGACCATTTCTGAAAGCAAGGAACCTCCTCTTGTTCCTAATGCAGAGCGAGGTCTGAGGTTTTCATGATTAAAGATTTCGAGAAGAACTCATTACTCAGTACTCATCAGGAACACTCTGAGGCTGAGCAAAACATCTTCCTGCCAAGACAATATCTGTGACTGGAACAATAGATGGAAGAAATTACTTTAGTATCTCCAACACTGGCAGAGTTTGCAGTTTCGCTATGATCCTCCAAGACAGATTTATCTATCATACATTAGGACATATTTGGCCACTGTGCAAGAGAACGAGCAGAGACCATTCGTGACGGCTTGTTACTTGTATTTGGTTGATGTTTTTTTTTAAGAGTTTGCACTTTAGTTCACATTTGTGGATTTTAAAGTTGGATTGGTGTTGTGATAAAAGTGGGGTCATTCACAGCCTGGAACGGAGATCCAGACATAAATCAACAACACTACCACCACCCTTTAGATTATGGTTCCCCACTCGCAGGGACAAGCCAGTGTTAAGCGCCTGACTTTTTTTTTATTGCATGAATTTCCATGTTGGTTGATGCGAGTGCTTGATTGGTGTTGGTCTAGCTGGTTGCCCACCATAGCCATGCTACTCACCAGCAAATCTTAACCCCCCTGTTGTGTCAAATTTTAGAGTGCACACTAGTACCTCCAGTTTGTTATTCTGACATTAATTCAGTCTCAAACTGATTAATTAGCAGAAGTTATTAGGCCACCACGAGCGTGATGTCATTAGCTCCTGACCAAAGTGTTTCAAACAATGGATGTGGGACCTACTTGCTATGGTTTCTAGAAACAGTCATGACTAGCTAGTTAACTTCTCCAGTAATGAATTGTATTATGGTAGTTAAGCAGTGAGTTTTTCATGGAAAGTGCACCCCAGCTTGGCCTTTCTGGCAAAACCCATTTTAATTGCATAATGTGATGAATTTCAGACTCATTTTTATTTGACAAGAAAAAACAAACCATTATGAAGTTGAGGTCCATGGAAAAGGTCTTACTTTCTGTAGAAGAAGATGTGAGTGTGTGCATGTGTGTTAATTTGGCAGGGTTGGTTTATGGCACGTCATCCTCAGTCAGGTCATAAACGTGAACCACAAGCGGCTCCATGTGAGCAGAGCACAGCTTCATCCCACAAACACCGTTCTCTCTGTAAACAAGTTCCTCTTCGCGCTCTTAACACACATCCATACAGGAGTAAACACACAGAAACACTCACTAACGCTCTTTTCACACATATAAAGAGGTCACGGAGTTGCTGTAGTGTTAGTCGCTGCAAATCGCTATATGTGTGAACGCCCCTTTACACGCCCGAAATGTTGCCAACATATGTCCACGCTGGAAAGCTGTTGTGTGAAGGTCTTTCAAACAAGCTGTCAGATTAGCGCTGATGCACTGAATGACTCAATGAACTCTTATCACCTTGGTCACGACGGAAAAACAGCAGAATAACGTGAGCCGCACTGAACACACTGTTACGTGCTGCAGTGACATCAGTGAGCCACAACATCTGCTTCAGTTCCTGTTGTAGTCGGCAGAATGGGACTCATCCGTCAAGTCGCTTTGCACGCCTTGAATTACGAACAGATACGGACGCTGTTATTATGATGTTGCTAGGCAAAGCTTTCACAAAGCACAAAGTCTTCAGCTTAATCAAAACGGATGATGAAACTGTATTACTTTGTTGCTAAAAGAGACGCAGCAGCGTTTGTACTCAGAATCAAGAGCTAAAACCACAGATATTTGCTTTGGTACTGTTCTACAGGCGATTTTCACAACTCAGTACTAAAAAATGATGTATACAAATGCGGCCTGAAATGTATAAAAGATGACATGAGGGTGACAATATACAGGAAAATGAAGAGGTCAGCTCTCACCTGTTTATTGTGGCATGCACACACTTTCTTGAAAATGGGCATTCACAATGACAGCTTTACAGTTCAGCACAAGGGTAAACACAGAGATAGGTCATTCTCTAAATGTTGATTTTAGGACTTACAAAAAGTGTTGAATTTAAAGGGATTGTTCATCCAAAAATAAACCTGTTGAACACAAAAGAAGTTATTCTGAAGAATGTTCATAAACAAGCAGCTGACGGTACCCATTGACTTCCATAGTATTTATTTATTTTTTTCATATTATGGAAGTCAATGGCTACCATCAACTTTTTGATTACCAACATTCTTCAAAATATCTTCTTTTGTGTTCAACAGAAGAAAGAAACTCATAGAGGTTTGGAACAACTTGAGGGTGAGCAAATGATGACAGAATTTCCATTTTTGGCCGAACGATACCTTTAAGCAATTTTTTTCCTCCAATAAAAGCTGATGGTAAGTTTTATTATTATTATTATTATAATTATTATTTTTATTTACTTTTTTGACATTATTACCAACCATGAATTTGTGACTTGTGACAGTAATGCCAGCGACAAATTCTCACATAAAATACATGTTCTAAGATGGTTTCAAAACAATCTGAAAATTCACACCACTGATCTATTTAAAATAAATAAATAATAATTTTTTTTTCTATTAAAAATTTTCATATGAATATTAAGCAATGTAACTGATTTAAAGTAACCTTTAAATAAATTGCAAATATTACACACACACACACACACACACACACACATATATATATATATATATATGATAAAATGTAATAGAATTGCAAAACAATATAGAGCCAAGCCATGTAATATTATTTGATATATTGTTTAAGTTATGGAATGAAGCTGTTTATATGGAAATTCTTGACTATTTGAGATCTTTTTTTTTCAATGGGCGAGAAAGAAGACGTCAAAGTTTACGAGATCCATCACCTGATACAGTGGGATGCAGCTGAAACTGCAACTAGCAACCAACAGTACAGCAGTTTAATCACTGTCAGTGTGAACGTCCTTTAGATCATTGATTTGAGATCCTTTGCTCTTAGACGGGCGCTGAACTTTGACTGAACTCTGACCTGCAAAAATGACGTCTGGAAAATCCAAAAGTCTCCACTTTCTCCTACTAAACTAGGAAGAAAAGAGCTCTGCTCGACTGTGAGAATAAATCTGAATCATTAAGCTGTCAGTCGTTTGCCATCCCAAGCACAGCCACTTCCCATCACGTAAAGGGAGAAATGACAAAGGAGATTTCCTTCGAACGTTCACAAACGTTTCATCACTCATGGCCTGAGTGGCCAGTCCTGCTTTTGATCCAATGACCTTAATCCATAAGTCATATTAGAGCTCTTTTCCTCCATGATGGAAATTTCAAATACTCCTAAGTATTCCAGATGGAGACTGAAAGAGAAGGACTGTCCTAAGCACACATTCCCACATTTGCCTTGATTTGTGCTGTTGCACTAAACATGATATTCAGTACAATTGCATGTAAACAGCTCAATGAGCGTGAAGTTCATTTCAAGTAAAAATGTAGCCAGTTATATTATCCGTTTTCCAAAAATACTTTGCACCTGCTTAGATCATGGTGGTCCGAAGGAAAAATAAACTATGGATTCGAACTCATATTTCTGTAATTGCTTCACACACTTTAAAACAAAATGCCAACATGTTGAATGAACACACATGCACTTGCAAAGTGAATCACTATAGATCCATTAAATGGTCTATTCAACTCAGAGAGAAACAGTAAAGCTGCTGATCTCAACAAGAGGTTGATTACATTTATATTCAGCTTGAATTGGCATGTTTATGGTAAGCTTAAAATAGTTGTGAGTCACAAAATCAGACTACAGAGGTGGTCACAGGAGGTGCCTTTGAGGCACATCACTATCAGGTACACAATGATCTGTTTCACCTGAACACTTATGATCAAATCTCCCAGAGCAGATGTTAATGGCAGATGTGAACAAGGCCAGAGAGAGCTGACTGTGAGCAGTTTGACACACCCACGAGTGTTGAGTTTTACTCAAAACTGCATAAAGTACACACATCTGCACGACACCATCAGGAGCTCAGGACTGTTTGTAAATATCAGCGGTTGCTTCAGGGATCAGAACTGCACACAAACATCTACTCTGTGCCATATGAAGTTACACAAATGGTTACTGTTACCAAACAAGTTTCCCAAATATTCCCCTTATTTCCCCTTATGGTTAGGAAGTGTACAACACCTGGAAAAAGTGATCTGTTAGCATTTCCATTCATCTCAGTAGCAGTTGCTTATTTGAAACAAACCCCCTTCTTCTTCTTCTTCTTGTGCTGTTTTATGGCGGCTGACAAGCCAACTTATGGTGTATTGATGGATTGGAATTGATGAAACCTATATCTTTCAATTTCTTAATCAACTCTTCTCTTTCCTAGGTAAATACTGCACAATGTAGGAGTACATGCTCAATAGTCTCTGCTTCACTACAGGATATACATAATCCAGTCTGATGTTGACACTTTTTATTTATGTGTTCTTTAATTCTTCCTTTTATTTCTGCTTTACTTCAACGGTCATTTGTTGCATTGCCTGTTTGTACTCGCACACGTGCAGGTGTTCACCCATATGAACCTCAGGGCTATACCCATTTTCTGTATTCTGAGCAGATTTATAAATATCTCATATATTAATTCTTGTCTTGTTGTTGACTGCCCACTTAATAAAACTATTTAAAGCTGAACAAATAACTGCCCTTACTGGCTTAACGTCCTCCACCCATTGAATAGCCAACTATCAGCTCTGTTGTAAAAACGGATGCATAACTGGTTGTCCTTTTCTGAATATTGACTCGGAGTCTCTGAATAAATACAGCTGCAGCCGTATGCGCTGCTGTAGGATGCTTTGACCCATCTGAGGAATATATGGAGCATCGAGGAGTATCCAAATACTGCTGAACAACAACCTCCTTAGGTATAGATCTTTCATTCTTAATCTTATATTGTAGATTCAGTTCAACGCGATAGATCTATAATTTGTAGCATTATGCTTGTTCTTAGCACAGGGATAATATCCCTGTGTTTCCATGAGGACGGAAGTCTCCCTGTGCTCCACACTTTATTAAAAACACGTGATATAAAATTCAAAGACAAATCAGATCATTCTCATCCTTTCCTGGAGATCTTTGCTTAACTCCCCCAACAGCTCTTTCTTTACTTCATGTCATGTAAATTTCATATCACGATGGTCATTACTCCATCATGATATTTGGATGTTTTTAGATTGCCATCTATTTATTTTCAATTCTTCTAATGTTATCATTACTGTGCACTTTAACAAACGCCTCTGCTAACATTTCTCAACTCAACTCAACTCAAACTTTATTTATAAAGCACTTTCAACACCACGACTGGAACCAAAGTGCTGTACAGAGAAAGATAAGGGGGGGAAAAAAATACGAATAATAAGAATAATATAAAAACAAATGAAAAATAATAATAGTAAAATAAAAGAAAAATACATAAATAATAATAGTAACAAATGTAAATTTCATATCACGATGGTCATTACTCCATAAAATGATATTTTATTGCCATCTATTTATTTTCAATTCTTCTAATGTTATCATTACTGTGCACTTTAACAAACGCCTCTGCTAACATTTCTCAACTCAACTCAACTCAAACTTTATTTATAAAGCACTTTCAACACCACGACTGGAACCAACTTTGAAATTAATTCTGTATCGTACAGGTAACCAATGCAGTTTGATTAACACAGGAGTAATATGCTCTTGCCCCTTTGTACTTGTTAAAAGGCTGGCAGCTGAGTTCTGGACAAGCTGCAAACGAGAGCGAGAGAGCTGATTCAAACCCAGATACAACACATTACAATAGTCCAAACGAGATGACACAAAAGCATGAACAACCTTCTCCATATCTGCCTTTATCCAGATATGGAGAATCTCTCCAAAAAAAATATCTCTCCATATTTCTGCCTTTTCTTCATTAGTCACAGCTATTCTTTCCACATTACTCAGAACAGGCAGACCAAAGTTTCTTTAAAAACCACCCATCTTTTTGATCATACCCCATACTTCACTGACATCTACTTTCTCCCCTACAGAATCACCATAATTTCTCCAGTACTTCTTCTTAGCAGCCTCTCACATTGACTTGCGCTTTTTTATATAGAATGAAGTTATCAAATATGTACGCTTTAAAAGCCTTATTTCTAGCTTGAATTGCTTTGCTACATAATTCTGTCCACCATGGAACTGATTCTGATCAACATGTGAGCCTTCATTTCAGTCTTTTCGCTTCAATCACCTTAGCCCCCGATATGTTACTGTATCAGTGGATACATCAGTTGGAATTCCAGAGATTACTCCCCTTAACCAAGCTCTCTTACTCAGTACTGTACCACTTTCTGCTGTTTTTTTATTTTTAGAAGATTTCCATTTCTTAGAGTCACTCTGTATATCACCTACTGCTTTTTTTAAAGCCTTGGTAAGTTTTACTGCATTGATCACGTTACTATTTGCAAACTTCATCAGTATCTTCAAATCTGATGTCCTTGAAAATGTCCTTTCCAGCATCCTGTCTTTTTCACGATCAGTTCCCAATTCATTCTTTAAGTTTCCTTCTCTTACAATGGACAATATTACTCCAATCATTTACTCCTGTATTCTTACTGCTAGATTCTTCCTCCATCTCCGGATCACTTCTAATGTCACTTCCCTCCATCAATGCTCCAGTCACAGTCCAGTGTTGTCAAGCTTGTTCTGCCACCCTCCAAACAAACCCCCTGAATGCCATCTGTGCTTCATGGGCACTCAGAGTATTTGTCATGTGACTGATCACTGGTCAAAAGCAGCAAATCAAAAAATGATTGTGATTTTAACAGTAAAAGACTGTAAAAATGCTACAGTAAAAACCTGTTTAATATGTTGTTTATTAACATTACATCAGTTAATGAAATACTGTATTTTATTGTGAATTTAAGTTAAGTCTGTAAAACCTAAAATGTTGCTACCATATTTTTTACGGTGAAGTTCTGGCAACCACAGCTGCCGGTATTTTACCGTAAATGTCACAGATTTTTTTTTACAGTGTATGGTTATAGTTAACTAAACCATTTTTTGTTTGTTTTTTTCAAATAAAATAAACATTAACTGAAATAAAATATAAAAACTTATTTTATTTCAGCTAGTTGCCAAGGAAACATTTCTCATTCTCATTTAGCTTAACTTGATGTACTAAAATCTAAAAACTAAAACTAAAAAATGTATCTAAAATGCAAGATGAAAGATCTAACATGAAAATGGAATAAACATATAATATAACACTGTCCTAAAATCCTTAGCAGAAAGAAGATGGCAATTTAAAATAAGAGGCTTGTTGGAAGAACAATGTTTTGGCTTCGAAAGCTGTAAAAGTACTAAACAGTTTCATAATTAAATTGACTTAAGGGAATACTGTGTTGTGTTGCATCTGTCGCGGTTCTATGTAGTGGGTGTGGCCTGTATCGTTCCAGTGGTTGTGGGCGTGGTTTAATCTTGCTGGCCGCAGATACCTTTGCCAGGTAACCCCGCCCCCAAAAACACCAGGAAAGAAAGCAGACAAGCTGTCTATTCGTAACATGCTTCAGTGATTTGTGCTGTTTTACAGCCACACAGAGACAAGTGCGTCTCAGGATGACTTCTGTGCTGACAGGGACTATTCTTTCTTTTTTCTTTTTCTTTTTTAATACCACGTTTTATGGGTGTTAGCTACAATCACTTATGTTTTAGCTTCATGAATTTAGCTGTGCTTTAATACACGTACCATTTCTTTGTGATTTTTTACATTTGCCTATTAGATTCGATTTTTTTTTTTTATCAACAATGCTGCGCAATTCCCCTCATTTTAGACTTCATCAAAATGTGCATCATTTATTTATACTTATTATATTTATTTATAACACACCGAGGGCAACTTTTTATTTCTACAACCAAAAATCCATGCCAGTTACTAAAAACCAGCATTTAATTTCACAGAAAGTGAAGTGTTGTAGTTCTTGGAGATCACATACCTTCACTTCCACACTGTTTGCCATTGTTCGCACCCATCCCGAAGAACACATAGTCTCTCCTCACAGTAACAAATCTAAAGCAGTCAGATTACACGGGCAAAGTCCTCGAGCAGACAAAACGTATAGCTCCATTATGCATGTGTTCAGAGCGCAGACCGTGCGCGAGCATGAACCCAGCAGTCCTGGCGAGAGCGGAGAGAAATCAGCGCCACTGAGAGAACTAACCGCACGAGCTCACTCACTTCCACTGCGACTGTAGGAGGACGAGATGGAGGGGCTGGGCCAGCTTTAAAGAGAGCCTCAGTTTAAAATGCCACACATCAGCATGCAGCACTCACGGACAGTGCATCTAAAGTTTATAGGATAATGTTTGGGGTATGAGAAAAAATGATACATACAATTAGACTTGTGCGGGTATTCGGTAATGCGATATATCACGGTAATGAATATGCACGGTATTGTTATCGTGGGCACTTCTAAATACCGTGAATAATTATATATTACAAATTATTCCGAATTTTGAATGCATTTTAAGAATACTTTTCCCATCAACTGGTCAAAATGCACAACACGGCTGTATGCTGCGTGAAAAACACGTGCGCACTCTGATGTAAACAAGCGCTGACGAGAAGCACATGGCGGAACATGTGAGAGACGCTCTGGATGAAAGCGCACTTTCACTCTCTGACAGCAGAGGGCGCTAAACTGCTTTTAATCTGTGTAAAACTTTTAACTTTATACATTTTTCTGTATTGCTTTATTGCATTTAAATGTTGTTATTTTTGTTATAAGAAAAAAGTTATTAAACCTGTTATACTGTATTATGACAGCACTTTTTTTAAATTAAAGTTCAATATCGTGATAATACCGTATACCGTGATAAAAACATTAGCAATTAATCGCAACATGAAAATTTGATACCGGCATATCCCTACATACAATATAATATTAAGTATCGGACACTTAAGTAGCATTTTAAAGTGTATTAATCAAGTTAATTTTTTAAAGAACATTTAAGGAATAAATAGAATGCAACACAATATGTCAATATAGTCTCTAAACATAAATGTCTTAGCAATGCTTTAAAGTTTAAAAATGCAGCTTCCGATAAATCTCCATTACTTGTTCAATGATCATTTTACCTCATGACACTGCAAAAAAATGTTCTTCATCAGGATTTTGGTCTTGTTTTCCAGTGCAAATGTCTAAAGATTCTTATATTGACTTTTTTGTTTTATGAGAAATTGATTGAAATTAACTGAGTTCATGCTTAAACAAGAACAAATATCTGGCACTGCCTCTGGGGTTTGAAAACTTCTTGTTTCATTCCACACTGACAGATATTTGTTCTTGTTTTAAGTATGAACAGTTTTTTTTTTCAGGAAACTAGACCTTTGTATGTTCAATTTTTGTGCTTAAATAATTTTATTGGAAAACTAAATAAAAATACTTTTTTTTTGCAATGCATGCAACATTTAATGCCATGAATTTAAGACTTGCTGCACAAATTTAAGATCTTTTAAGGCCTTAAATTGTGGAAGGGTTGAATTAAGACTCAAGACAGAAAACCTGATGAATGCCATTGCATTATAATATGCACTTTGTAGTCAACGTTTAGTGGACCATGTGAGAACTTGAGGAAAACTGACTTCATGTACACTAAAATCTGATGAAAATACATTGCCAAAATGGTTGAGAAAAGTAAAATTAGTTCTGTGATAATGTAGTCTAAGATGAAAGAAAGAAATCCAATTGACACTGCAATGCAGATGCATCTATGAACACATTTGTCACTAACATATTTGGATTAATATAAACTGAATTGAGTATTGCTGCATTTCAAACTTGTGTTATACTCGAGGGGCCATTAATAAAATAATATATTAATATCAGTGGCAGGACATGTTTCCTTTAGCCTGCATTCTTACTGTGTGTTCTATTGTTAGTTAGGCTTCCTGTGCAGAATAAAGCTGTTTGGGACTATTAACGGACGCCTCTGAACAAAACAGGAATCATACACACGGGTATTTTTGTCAAGGAATTACTTCCATGAAACTCCCATCAATTAGTAAATGCCTGTGACCTTTGTGTTGTAGCGACGATACAGAGTTTCTTATTGTTTGCAAGTGCTGACATTGTGTTTTTGTGCTGGTGGCCCTGAATGGGTGGACACGTATTGTTTTAGAAGTCAACATCTCTCTCTTTATCAAATTCCTATTATGACAAAAGGTGAATAGACTCCTGCCAAAGTTCTTACAACTTCATGTTCGGACCACACATTTTTAAAGAGATCTCTCTAAATACCAGTGACTGATCTGAGCACAGTCTGTAAAACATGCCGGGTTGCACAAAAGTTATTTTACTTGGAACAGTTTGAGAAAAACTTTAGCGTCTACTTGTGACTGGTCTGTTTGGCTTGCATGGTACCAATCAGCAGTCTGTTGGACTGAGGTCAAATGCCAAGCCAGAGAAAGCGTTTACAGCCAAACGCTCTGCAACCCAAGAACGCTATCTACTTCCCGTCTCTGGGGCTCTACTGATGCAGGCTGGAACACACAGACACACATGTGCAGATGTGATAGCACAACAACAGGAAGAAACCCTTGAGCAAACTGTGCTTCAAATGTGGTTTTCACACACAGACACACGTGCAGATGTGATAGCACAACAACAGGAAGAAACCCTTGAGCAAACTGTGCTTCAAATGTGGTTTTGAAAATGGCTGTGAAACCTGAGATTTGGAGAGAACTTACAACATTAAAGGCCAGATATTGAAGTTGCAAAATCTGAGGTTTTAGTCATATTAAACATTTCTTCCTTTTGTAGGATGGGGTGCAAATCATTAGTCAACAAAACACACTGTTTTGAGGAGGCATTTGCCCAGAGTCCCCAAAGGTAGCATTTGTAGTAATGCATTTGTTTTTATTGCTGAAACTTTAACTAATAGCCATAAAGCCTCGTAACAGTGGTGTCAGGTCTTAAAAAACAACCTCCTGTGATGTCAGGGCATCTCAGGCATCACATACTTCCCTACCAGTGTTGGGGTTTTTACGTAATCAGATTACTTTTTCAAGTAACTAGTAAAGTAATGCATTACTTTTTAATTTACAAGAAAATATCGGAGTTACTTTTTCAAGTAATGCCAGTTACTTTGTTTCCTCATGTATTGACTGCAGTTCTCCTGTGCTCATGTTGAGAGGAATCAGGAGTGCAGAGGCATTGTGTGCACTGTGTGAACATGATATTGTAGTTCTAGACTAAATGTCTACATGCATTTACTCATCTCACTTACACAAAAACAGATTCAGTATTCCTCAAAATGAACAAAAACAGAAATGCAAAACCTGGCACAAACCTGCAATAATTCAATGTATAATACAAATTAGAAAGATGAGAAAAAGTAACAATAATTTGGATAAAAAGTAACACAATCAAGTTACTTTTTAAGGAAGTTACGCAATATTGTAATGCATTACTTTTAAAAGTATCAATCCCCAACACTGTTCACTAGGTGAAAAACAGAAGCATGTCTGAATTCACAGTACTCATAAAAGATTAGGCGAAAAGTATCTGGATGACCTACTACTTCCAGCGAGATTCTGAGGGTTGCATACAATGGACACTTTTTTTATGGATTTGTGAATGGCCTTGAAGCAACGCAACTGATGCTTATAGGTCACATTTATAACGGATAGTATTGTCATAGTTGTTTTGAAGTACTTTATATACTTATTTCAGTTGTGTGCCTGTAATAACTGCACTTGGATGCTCTACATTATCACATGGAAAATGTTCCTTGAAGCTACACATATTCATGGGCCTTTTAAAAATATTCTTAATTAAAAATGGCACTTGGTTGGATGTTTTATTTTATACAGTTAGATTAAACCATTTTTAAGTGTGGCTTAAGCATTGAAATGGCAATAAAATTCCCGGACCACAAGGTACAAGCAGACGTTACTTATGAATATCACAGGTATAAGTTAACAGATAAAATAGGCTTTTGTGGTGGAAAACCATAGGGAGACTCTAAAGCATGTCTTTTGTTGAGCACAGATTTATAAGTGATTCTCATTACATATTTGGGAAGATGGTTGGCACTTGTTGCATTTTTCAAAATGCAATTCAATAAATTGCACCAATTGGCAAGTAACACAGTTTCAGATACTCGCCAAAACTGATTTTCATGCATTTGGTGGAGTGTTAATTTCAGACCCTGGCAGAAATGCTAAGGGTGTCCCACACACAACCACTAGCTAGATTCTGCAGCGCTGTCAGGAGCAATCCATGCCTGAAACAAATGCATTTTAAAATGCAGGATTTAGCAGTTTGTTTAGTAATGGTTTAAGATTATTCCGCAAGAAGTATTTTTTCTTTCTGGAATAAATGCACACTGACAAACTGTGCACAATATGACCAGGAACAGCTCTGATTTCTTGTTAACTTCTAGTAGTCAGACCTGCATTCATGAGATAAAACAGCTTTCTATAAGCATTTAAGATAACACACCTTTATTTAAGATTTTTTTTTATTTAACGATTTAAGATTTGTCTAAAATAGTGTAAGAAATCTCTTAAACTTCTCTGTAGTAAAATCTCTCCTCATCCTATAGAAGCTCTGCAGGAAGTCCACTGGTCACCCAGTGTAAACAGACAGCCAGAGAAGCACAGGGGGAACGGTTAGCAACAGCATCTGTATTCGCATTATCAGCCACTGGGGCAGCAACAGACATAAGATAGCGGCCTGAAGGAGAGACCACGCTCTCATCCTCAACGGCCTCATGGGAGACGGAGGCAGACGGGTGGACGGCACGGATTATATCGCTCTCCATCGCAGCCGAGGACTCTGGGTCAGCTGCAGGTACGGGAGGAGTCGTCTGGCTGGCCACTTTCCTGCGTATGGCCCTCATCGTGATGGGGATGGACATGCATCTGGACAAACACACACACACACAAAAAACAAGAGTGAGTGAGGATTCAAGGACAGAGGGAGTTTAATCACATAAAATCTGAGAGCACTACATGCTTACAGGAAGGTGAAAGCAAAATGTTTAGTAAACATGGAAGGTCTGGACTCTACAAATAAGAGGGCGTTTAAATTCTATGGAAATCTGCAGAGCTTTCAGAGGATTCCATCAGTACATAACCTCATTTTTGCTGTAAGCTGATAGTTCCACCATAAAATTCTGCCATCAGGTTGTTCACCTTCATGGTCTTTCAAACCCAAGGCTTTTGTTCATCTTCGAAGCACAAATGAAGATATTCTGAATGAAACCGGAGAGATTTCTGTCCTCCGCGCGTCAAACACATACGTTTGAGCTTTTGTTGACCATATCTTATGTCCTCTATGCAGGAAATTGTGACCGTTTTGGTCGCATATGCTCCCGAAATTTAATCTGTGCGACCTAAAAATATATTTTGGAGCATTTGTGTGAGTGCAAATAATTGTTGTGGTGCGACCGGTTTTCATTTCTCTACAAAACGTTCGCTAAATACGGCACAGTATGCAACGGTTGTAATTTCAGCCGATCTCTGTGCCAGATTTGCACAAACTGCATTGCAATCATTTTCCAAAATGTCATTTGTGTGGAAATATTACGAAGTCGGTAAACGGCCGTTAACAGAGTCCAGAGACGCTGAAGACTGATGCAAAGAGGAGAAAATACTGTAGCAGGCAGAGCAGAAAATCCTGAATATTGAATTGGGGGTGAAGGGTTTATATGAATGTATCTCTTAAGTATCGTTCTGTTTTCAGCAAATAATACATGGTCTTTTTTTTGCTTCTCGCCTCTGTATAATGCATATTAGTGTTTATATGCACAGCTGCTTTGTTTACAGCAGTAACATTTATGAACTCGTGCAAAGTTTTGGGTGAGGAAGAGAATTTTTATAACTGATGCCAATATTCAGTTTTGCATGAACTAAGCCTTTAAGTATCGAGTTTGTTATTGATACGATTAACAAAACAGTTTGCATATGCAAAATGGCATCATTATTAGTGAGCATGTGCAATAGTGATGCAAAATGTTGGACTCACCGTGTAAGGACTCTGGATATGTAGTCGTCCAATTTATGATCCACAAAATCAGGCATCAGAAGTCTGCAGCTCATCTGATGAGAGTCCACCACAGTCACCTGAACTAGCACAGAAAAAACAACAAACCTTTCAGATAGCACGCAATGAATTTGCATTTATAGCATAGTGAATTTAATTTTTAATATAGTGTGTAACGGTCCTTACGAACAGCCAGGTGGTTGTTATCATCAAGGCTGAATGTAACAGAAATGCAGTGGTCTGATTCTGGAAGGATCTCACATCTCAGGTCATACAGTAAGCCAGCATCTACTGTATAAGAATAGAGAGAAGGCAAAAACTCTATCTTAAGTTACGACAAATGAGCCTGAGAAGGCCAGGAGAACGTGCTGCCAGTCTACTGCCAGCTGAATGCATGAATAAGCTGTATTAATGACCTATGAGCTGGCTGTGGTTACTGAAGCAGCTTGCCAGCAGGAGGTTGATGGCAGACTGATGGCGAAGGAGATCCAGTAAGGCAGGGACGTGGCCGGGGTGTGTGAAGGGAACTGTGTGAATTAAGGCTCCTTTCCAGGACTCTCGGCCCCAAACGGCCCCAGGGAACACATAACTGTGGTTCTCAGAGGCAGGCAATGGCTGAGAAACATTAAAGACAGTAACCAAGGTAAATAAGACCGAAACAGAGAAGAGCAAATGAATGAACGTCTGCTTCTGCTGTTCCAAAACAAACATCTTCTAGCAGCAAAGAATGACAAGCAGAATTCAATGCAAATATTGTAGAGTAGCCAGTAATGAACCAACCAAACAAACGTTCTGAATATCCCGTAATCTCGCTGTGCAGTATTCATATGATTATCATGGCAAACGTGGCTGTTTATGTAAAGTATAGTGGCTTGGGTTGCAAACAGACCACAACAAACTGAACCCCGTCTGTCCAGGAGATCTTGGAGCTCAGCGTTTTGCTGGTGTTCAAGAGAAGTTGAGGTAGAGGCTCCACCTGCTGGGGTTTCTCAGCTATAACTCCATCTGAGTAATGTTTGGAGGCCGGTTACTCGGCATCGGTACATGATATGGTTCAAAAACAATCGATTTTTAAGTGTCTCTCAATGTATGATGCACCTGTGATTTTGCCCATTTTCTCTATGAAGGACATAAGCATGGGTAACGGTGGCTGTAGTTTGAGAAGAAAGGTGGCAGGGAGTAATTCAGAGCAGGATTCAGTGAGCGGCTGAAACACTGGAAACCTAGAGCACACAAAAATAAAGATTTCATCTTGACTGATATAATAAGGGTCAGAAAAATCAATATTGCACCATTCATTCTTCTCTCTATAGAGCTAGACTAGAGTTAAAAGGAATTGGGAAGGTTTGAAAGAGCCTTTGTTCAGGGCACAAGTATGTCCCACTTCCTTGTCTGTACTTCAACCTGCAACCGTTAGGAGAGCATCACACTTTGTGAAGACAGCTGGTGTGAAACACTCCAGTACTCACCCGAAAGAGTCGACCTGAGGTGGAGAAGAGATCAGAGATGCCCTCTGCAGCCTGTGTGAGGCGTCACTGCTTCCCACTGTTACCAGAGCCATCTGGCCAACACTAACCTCACCTATACACAATTAAAAAAATAGTTACTTTAAATAAAATAAATATTAATTGAACAAATTTCTAAAATATAAAAAATTTTTTTTTTTACTTTTCTCATTTTGATTTAGTTTAACTTAATGTACTAAAATAAAATTTAAAAAAATTGAATTAATTTTTAAATACTAAAAATGAAAACACAATTAAAACTTTAACTGAATTAAAATTAAAACAATCTAAAAAAAAAAAACTATAATAGAATCTCAAACTGATGCTACTGGGTATTTTATAGTTATCTGATTGGACTGATTAGAATTGTTGTTGACAAATCAAAACTAAAACTTAAAAATAATAGAACTAAAATATATATATTTTTTTATTTTAGATAAAAAAAATAAAAAAAAAACTTACATTTAAACAAATTAGAAATGCTGACTTGGCAGCTAACACAAATAACATGGCTACTAAAATTGCTAAAACTGAAGAAAGAAAGAAGAAAAAAAAACGTAACTAATAAATGACAAATGTACATAAAGTTACTAAAACAAACTAAAATGAAACCTGAAAAAAAAAAAATGTAAACAATGTTAAAGAAACCTTAAAAAGCCAAAGTTTCAAAAACTCTTTAATAATATATAGATACTAAAATAACACTAGATTAGAAGTTGTGCAAAGTTACTGTTTTAATACCCGTGTTTGACAGCCTGATGAGAACATCTAATGGACTAATGTAGTACTCGATTGTCATTGGGGTTCCTGTGAGGAAGGAGACGTGAAAGAAGAGTTTAATATTTCACATAAAACATGCTGATCCGACACGGTTTTCCCTTGCGTACCCTCTTTGCCTGGCTGGACGTTCCCAATCCTGCCGTTCATGATGAGGTCAACGTGAAGGTCACTTTCTCTCAGAGACCTAGAGGAGACCGTGCTCATTGCATTATATGAGAACAGACTTTCATCTAGAGAAACATGTAACATGTCGGCTAGTTTCCCACACCTTGGTAAATGGGATATTTTGAAGAGATCGGTTTCCAGGTGTCGAAGACAGGTGTAGATTTTAGTCTTGACATCACTGCCAGAGCACAATCATAATTAGAGAAATACACAAATTGTTACCTAAAATCAGAAACCAGAAAGCAATACCTGTCTCCCGGGATGATGTAAAAAGAGGCAAGATCATCCAACTTTAGAGAGAATTCTTGAAATTTCTTCATCCTGTGGAAATATGATAAGCATTTTTACTCCAACTCCAATATATTTCAATGCATTTTTCTCTCGAAATAAAGAATATTTTGATTCACCTCAACAACTGGAGGAGTGATGGGCTGGACTACGAACAAAACCAAACCACGTTAATGCATTTCACAGACTCACAATATTATAAGCACATGGTCTCACCACAGGAGCTTCGCCGTGATGGGCCACCCTCACATCTTCCACTCTCCCCCCCCGCAGCAGCACCACCTCAAGGTAAAACAGGTCTGCTGTCAGGTAACACACCGTCTCTGTGGGGCTCATATGTGACGCCAATCTACAAAAACCAGGAGTCTGTCAGCTTAAATGATGAGAGACAGCTGCACAGAGTTTAAAGGAAGTAACTGCAATTAAATACGGAACTCATCGATGCGAGCGACGTGACACGGACACACCCAACACAATTAAGTCCCTCCCCCAGTTTCTCTTACTCCAAATTATAGGTCACTATATAATAAATAAAAAACATATTTAATGACGAAATCGTGTAGCTTTAATGATAATTACTTATAATAATTCTATAAATCATATAAAATAATTGTATGACATTATAATCAATCCATTACACACAAGCAATTTTAGTTTAACAATTATTATTAAGCATTTAGTTTAAATGAATATTAATAAATACACATATTAGGTCATATAAATAAGCTGTCAAATCAATAGATAATGCTTTAAAATGACTACGTGACCTTACGTGCTTGAGTCTCTATTGCTATATATGATCAACTCTATAAACTAACTTCATACACATACATACACACACAGTCTCACACACACAGGCATATATGATGTACTAATGTACACGCACACACTCATATTACACCACATGTGTTATGAATCAGTCATTCACCACTAATGCTATAGATTGGCCTCAGTTGGGCATCATCTCTTTCGACTCTTTGCTGCTTGAACTTTAAGATAACACGGCTGCATCTGGAGATGAACTGGAAGGCAGTGTCGTCTGTAACCTGAGGATCCAGAGGAGCGCTTTGTTTTGCTGTGATGTTGACTTGTCAGCATTAGTCACTTGTAACCCCACCCAGACCAGTGCTATTTAACATTATGTATACACTATTATAGCATTTATTGATATTTTAAATGAGCTTTTATTATTTATATATTCAGTATTTATTTAATTTTAGTTTAAGTATTAGTCGTCATGTTGTGTGCTTAGTTTTTTTTTTCAATATTTATATTGCATAATTTTATTTCCAGTATTTCTACTGTAATTGTGACAAAGCTGCTTGTTTTTAAACTCTTTATTAACAGAAAGTGGGAGAATTGATATTAAATTAACCATGATTCAGTTTGTGACTTCAGAGGTTTCAAGAACTATATCTTCTTCAACTAAAAACAACAGTTATTGAGGGGTAAGAAAGATATAAAAAAAAAAATTGTATTGTATTATAATTATAAAAAACAAAACAATGATGTATAATAATATATTTTTTAATCGTTTTAGTGAAAAATAAATAACTAAAACAATTTAAAAAATGTTACTTTATATGATAAAATAAATATACTAAAAACAAAATAAAAAATTTCATATGTTGCCTATCCATTTTAATTTAGTTTAACTTGATG